GGTGTCACGCCGTGGGGCGAAGGCGGGGGGACGGGGCCGCCGCCCCGCCAAGTGCCTCCGTATGCGCGGGACTCCGGGAGAGGCCGGGGCTCGCGGCTGCCGCTGACCGCGGGTGGCAGGGTGTCACGCCGTGAGGCACCAATGCCTTGTCCCTCGGCGGGGCTGCCCCGGAGCTGTCTGCCTGAACTCCCGGGACCTGGCAGCTGGCTCCCGGTGAAGCCGGAGTTTCGCTGGGACGCGGAGGCGGGGAAGGTGGTTTCCCCGTCCCCCTTCAGCCTCCAAAGCAAGCCTCAGCCCAGGAAGCTCTCCTTTGGGGAAGGCTTCTGCTATTGCCTCCTATCCGAGAACTGTGTCATTTAGGTCATTAATCCCTGCTCACGGAGCGGTGGGGGAGGAAATAGCAATTTGCGGCCTCTCTGGAGGTGACATGAAGTGTGACAATGCCTTATATAACAGCTTTTGGAGAGATTCCTAGCTCTTCCGCTGTGCCCAGTTTTGATTTTAAAAAGCAAGTGATTTCTTTGTAAAGCATCAGACAAGCGATCTTTATTTGTGTTTTCACCTGAGTACAATGTCTTATGCTTTGTTCAGCTTGAGACTGTAAATAAAGCCTACTTTTTTTTCAACATGCATTTTTTAAACTGAAAATTAGCCGGTAGAGACATTTGAACAGTTATTAAAAGGTCTTACCTTTTTGAGCATGTATTGTACTCGGGTTTTTATAGCACTCTTAAAATTACTACAGGAAACAGTTTTACAGCAGTGACTGTCATTTATGGATTTTGGAAGGTATGGATGCCAGGATAGAAATGACAATGAATCAAATGTCTTTTAAACATTGTTAGCTTTTTTTAAATACACAGGTTCAGTGCTGGAAGGAACAGAAAGCACTGGGCTAAACAAAGTACTGTGTTAAAAACAGACCTTGCAATTGCCAACAGGTCAGCACATATTATTTAATGAAATCTTCTGGATACAGATTAATATTCTGTTGTCTAGCTTTCCCTGCCGTTTGTGTAAGTGGTTATGTCTTCTGCTGGGGGGGAAAAAAAAAAAGCTAGCTTCACACAAAAAGGGTAGTGATTTGCCACATATTTTTTAGATTACTGCTGCAAAGGTATGCTGGGGGACTAGTTTGGGTAGGGTTTTTTTTGCCATTCAGTGGTGAAAATGCACAGACTATTGTATTAAGACTGATAAAATAAGGCTTTTTTTTCTCACCACCTAGAGCTCCATCATTTATAATATAAGCTTAGAGGAGAAATTGCATATATAAACTCAGGTGATAAGTTCAGGGCAGGGGCAAGTTTCTAAGAAAGTCATTCTGCTCCGTGCTGCAAATGGAGATAGGTTATCAACATTTAGTTTACTTGTAAGAATAGAAGTTAACAAAAACTAAACCCTAAACATCCTCACTGTGTTGCAGTTTTTTAAAATGGAGAAATGACCAAGGTGGAACAGGTTTCTCTAGGCTTCTTGAAAACTGCAAATTGCTCCTAAGTATTCCAAGTTTGAAATGTGAAATTCTCACTGCTTAGGTGTCCTGTGACGGCCCTTGATCAGCAAGGCTGGAAGTCATGTAGAAGCCACAGTAACTGCAGAGTCTCTGATGGATAATTGGATTGGTAGGTTGGTTTTGATTTTTTTGTGTGTGTCTTTTAATTGCCTGCTGTGGTAACAGGTTCCCTTTCTCTATCCTGTTTATGTTTAATTCTCACAATTTTTGATTTATGTTGTGTGTTGAATCTTTTCCTATTCAAAGTACATACCCCCTTCTCAGTTTCTGATGAGGAAGGCATAGCTTAGAGGTATTTGGATGGCAGTATGTAGCAAGATATTTTTTAATTTAAAATCTGAAATATGCATGCCAACTTTTTCTCTGTTTAGTTGACAGAAAAAGATGATAAGTTTTCTCCTGTCTGGGGATATATGCACTGGCTTTCTTTGACGTATTCCTGAAAATAGCATTACTAATGTGTTGAATTCCCTGTGCCAGCTCTTCGATCTACAGGAATTCCAAAGTACAGTCCTCAGAAAGCTGAAGTGTAGAGCAGTGGTGAATGACTACATCTCTGTTGGCAACGTGAAGATGTCAGAGGCTTGATCTCAAATTTCAGTGTGTAGGACATAATATTAGCAGTAGTATTCATTCTGAATGAATTATTTTAGGAAACTGGGAAAACTAAGCACTTCCCATGTGCACTTAAATTGCTGAGTTGTTCTTAAATATAATGCTTTTGAAGGAACAATCCTCCAAACTATTACTTGTGTGTCAAATGTGTATTTTTTGTTTTAACCTGGAATAAATGATTAGTTGTCAATAGACCCTTACTGGAATACTTTCATCCTCTGTCTGATTTCTTTTTTGTATGTGTGCCTATATAAGAGCAATCTTAAGAAAACAAGCACGCACATACACAAACCCAAGAAAATCCAAGCCATTTTTCCTGATGTTTATAAAGATTAATAATGGGTAAAATTCATAACCTGACTACAAAGTCATTGCACTATATGCTAAACTTGGTCTATGTCCAAGCACCTATTGATGTTGATGGGAGTTGCTTGTCTAGATCCAGAACAACATTACTTTTTTTTTTTTTTTTTTTCCTTAGGGCTTGTATGAAAGCCTATGTTAATGAACTCTTGCGAGATTTGGTTGAAGACTTTTCATCATCCGCATTGGAATAAACTAAAAAAGTATCCATTTTAAGGATATAAGATTTCTGGTGTATCTATTTTTCCTATAATCTGTATGTGCTGATAACATTAAGATAAAGGCTTGTGTGAGAAGAGGACATAAAGGCCAAGGTTGCTTATTTATGAGTTTGTCTCCATTCTCTTTAGACTTAGGTGTATTGTTTTTTTGTCTAATTCTGTGGCTAAAGAACTTTCTGGAAAGTAGTTTTGTGTGTGGAAACATACATACATGAGCATGTGCACCATTTTTGCTTTGTTAATTGTCTGGGTTTAGCTCATCTATCTTTTTGTAGTGAATGCTAGTTTAAAAATCAATAACTGATCATTATTAAATACTTGGTGTCATTTAAGAGCTGGAGAGTCAGAACTGTGATCAAGGAAGGTAATTTTACTTTTCTTTTTCATTGGGTCACTAATTTTCTCTTCCTTGTGATACACTCATCTGAAGATAAGGGCTAAATGAGCTTTGTACCTTATAGGGATTCATGACTCTCTTTGGTGTCACTTGGCTCAGTATTTGAAGGTCTATCCTATGTCTTGCCAAAGCTTTTTCAATACATGTAGAAGGGGAGTAGCAGATAACCAATTCTCTTTTATATGGAAGTTGGTGGCTTAAAAATCAAGGAGAAAATTGCAATAAGGGATTATCCTGGCCTTGACATTGACTTTGAAGCAAAACTGCCAAGACTGGAATCCTTGTTTAAGTGCCATCTGTGTCACAATTAGAAGCAAACTGAAATAGTTCCATTGCCTGTTTTAATTTGCAGACCAGGTCTGATCTAATGATGCTTACAGTATTATCCACATCACTGTTCTTTTTGGGATATAGCTATACTGTTTTCACAACAATGGAGTTAACTGGGAAGAAGCTACACTTAAAATTGGCAAGAACCACCCCAGCAATATCTGTATAGTGCTGTAGGAAAAATCCAGATCTAATCACATAAGCCTGATGATGGGGGAAGCTGGAAATCTCAAATGGTACAGGCAGAATGCAGTCTTCCTCACTAACGTCTACATAAGTATGTCTGAAAATAATAGAAAGAGATGACTTCTTAAGGATGGAGTTCCCTGTCCTTATGCATCTGATCTCATGATTAGTGCTATGAGGAGATGCCACCGCTACTCTACTGTTCTCTCATGCGTTTTTGAGCATAGATGAGGCATTTCTGTTACTCCATGTCTATACCAATTTTCTGTCCTCAGGGAATAGTTGCATATGTTGACCCAGACCCTGTGCATGATGCCTAAGGGGCAGCTAGTTAAGGGTCACATCAGTTAACAGTGGCTGGTTTTACTGTTTTCCCAGGTATCTGTGAAAATTATAGAAATCATAATATTTTTTGATCTGCTGTTGTTTGGCAAAGCTGCAAGTAGCAGTGCTAACACCAGAACCATAGCTTTCTTAGAACAACACCACCCATATGAGTTTAAACCCACATTTGCATTCTGGTACTGATATAGTTTTACAGGAAAATTTATGTTCCTAAAAAAAAAAATTAAATCTTTTTAAGCAATGCCCCACTGCCTTCACCGGAAATTTTCTGCTGCTTAAAACTTCCAAGGAAGTGGAGTTGTTGCTTTCTGTTGCGGCTGTCAATAGTTCCTCTAAACTTTATCCCATTATGTAGTATTTACATGCGAAATGCCATAATTTCAGTTGTATCATTAGCTTTTGGATTTTATCGCCTGGTAGGCATTTGACAGCTAAGGTTTAAGACTAGCAGAAAACTATGTTATTGAGCAATCTTAATTTAAATCCAGAGAAGAATGAAGGATTTTGGTTTTGGGGGAAGGAAGAGGAGAGAAAGGGCAGAGAAGTGAAGGAGAGGAATTGTGGAATTCGATTTAATCTTTCTTAAAAAAAAACCAAAACCCAAAACTCTTTGGTTTTGTTTTGTTACACTTTCCAGATGGACTTTTTGTACTTGTTTAGGGACCTGGGAATTAATTTGTTTATTTGGAGAAAAGAATGCTTCTCATCCTGTAATATAAAGTGTTGTTGCATGGTGAAATGGAGGAGCAAGAAGAATTGTGAACTGTTCAAATGAGATGAAGTTTCCAGCTGATACTCAAGCTTTTCAACCCAGTTCCTCCTGACTAGGTTTCACTTTCCTCCTCTCTGACTACCCTGCTGTGCTCCTGAACCTTAGTCACCTCAGTAACAAATTCCCTTGGTGATTGTTTTCTCTTCTGTCTTCAGTTAATGCTGCTGCTAATTAATGCTGCAAATGGAATTTTATGTTCAGAAATTACTGGACTTCAGTATGTGAATGTGCTTAATTTGGTGTTTTTTCAGGCCAAAGGTATTGGAAAGGCACTGGATAGAAATAAATGAAACCAAATCATTCCAACATTATTAAATCCCTGAATATATGTTCTTTAGATCATGTTGTTCTTAAGAATAGTAGCTTTCATTTGTTTTCTAACAGAAGGGAGTCCTAGACTTCCTGTTTTTTATAGAAAATGACTTGACATCAACTCTGAGGCTCTGCAGGCAGCAGTTAAATTCTGTATTCCTGTAGTCTCATCTTTTTTTCAATCCTTAAACTTGTTCTAGAGTGTAACTCAAATAAAAACAAAGGGAGGTTGTCATTCATGTTAGTCTTCTAAGATGCTAAAATACTGGCTGGTGTGCTTGAGAATTGTTAAATAAGATAAAGATGGTTCCTACCATTTTAAAAGGCTACACTTGTTTGTATTTTTTGATTATTCATTGTTGAGTGTACCATACAATTAGGTGCTGTTTCATCAAAGTAGAGAAGAATGAGGACTCTCTAAATGTGGACATTTTCTGTTGTTATTATTGGAATACTTTACAGCTTACATCCTTTATCTTGGTCTTCTAGAGCTCTTCGATATCAACTACGTTTATGAGAATCTGTTCCACTTCAGTGACTCTTCCAAGTAGTTGAAATCAGTAGGTGATGATGTCGGTTTTAGTACTAGGGAAGTTGCATGTTGACATTAACTTTCACTAAGCAAAAATTTATCAGTTTAAAGAAATTGCAGAAGCTTTTAGTTTGGGATATCTTCCTTCATTGAGATTTATGTTGGCAAAATACAGGATGCTGCAAATGGAGAAAGAGGGGAAAAAAAAATCAGTACTGATAGTGAGTTCGCTGAGAGATAGGACCCACTAGTGGCAAAACCAAACCATTTGGTGATGGGCAGGAAAGGGAAGCTTTTGTTCTTGATATTGTTGATTTTATATCAAGTTTTTCAGACTACTATTCAGAATGCAACCAAACTGATAATCTGGCATGTATTATTACCTCAGAGAGCAACAGTAAAATGTACAAGCTGCGAATGTTTGAGATGCAGCTGTCTTCAACTCATTGTCCAGCAATTGTCTTGCAATTTAGTTGACTTTAAGAAAGAAGCAATGTGTATGAGAATGAATTTGTATCCTTCCATAGTTGCTCTGATTTCAGGTATGGAGGAGAGTACAGTGGCTTAAGTTACTACATTTCCTTCCAAACTTTGCAGCTGCCTCTTTTCTCTTGTTCTCAGTATAATGCTAGCGCACCTTAAAGGCCACTAGATTGAAATAGTGGCTTCTAGCAAACTTTTGGGGTCATTCAAACCCCAAATTAGATTAGCGATGCAGATCCTTCATCACTGGAACACCTCCTTTCCATATGAAAGCATTCCTTGAGAATGATTCTTCCTTGGCCACAATCAAATCACTCTCCAGCTAGTTTGGACAGTGGAAAACCATGCACAGTACTGCCTTATCAGTCTTGGAATTTACATCTCTTCTGTTGGTACCCACAGCTTTGCCCCTTGCTTTTTCATGCCTACCTGGGGCAGTTGGATGTAAAATATCCACGTGTTTATACTGCCAGTGGCCACTGCTGTCACACCAGTGCTCATACCTGCCACCTGAGATGTATCAAACTGTATCGTATATTGGAAACATCTGAAA